TAACACCACGGTCCTGATGGAAGGTGAGCCTCAAATCCTTTGCAGCTTCTGACAGACAATAACCCTCCATGGTCCTGATTTTAGCTTCCTTCATCCTGCAGATTCCCACAGCTTGATGCTGCCACTACCATGTTTCACTGGATTGATGAGCAGAGTTCATTCTCTACAACCCCTTTGCTTGAATGGCTTCCAGTGGAATAACATTTTTCGTCTCTACAAAAGATTTAGCTCTTTTAAACATTTCAGAGATGTTCACCTTTGAAAGAAAGACCATTATGAGATTTTCCTTTTAAAGCCATGAATGAAAATAAAAAGGCGAATCTCCCAAAAGCTCTAAATGAAGTGCCTATGTGGCATGCTTTCTGTAAAATATAAAGCGAAGTAGTAAAACTTATTTTCACTACAGCTTAAAAAGAACAGATACTTTAAAAAGAACATTGCACCACAAGAGGAAAGAAAGAAAATAAGATATATTATTGAATTCTGCTGTGTGTTTATTGCAGCTTCAGATACAGAAATCCTAAAAATGGAAAACCGTATGAAACTCAATGTCCCTGTTCCTCCCTGCTGCCTGTCGCCGGCCATTTCTCAGGCTGCTGTATTAAACCTTTTTGACGTTAAACACCTGTTAACTTTTATGGTCTGTAAGAGGAGTGGTCTCATGTTAAAGCAAGGCATTTAGTGCCAGCCGGCTCAGCCAAATCCCCTGTGGAGGAAAGACCACTCCCAGAGCAGAGAAGCAGCGGCAGGAGGGAGCCCCCCGTTCCCCCTTCAGTCGCCTTCGGGGATCCCCCTACGCTTAAACCAGAAGTTAGCTCTATTTCAGTTGACAGCCGTGCGAAACCGCCAACTTTCCACAGCTCTGCTGCATAAACTATATGGTTACCACCTGCAGACCTCTGCAGGAGTAGCAGGAGCTTGGAGGCAGTTTTTCTTTCCCTTTTTGACATTTTATTCTATCCTTGCTTCCCTTTCTGAAGTTGATGTAAAAATGGAAAGAGCAACACTACCTGATAAAATGAAAGACAGAAAGAATATTGATAAGAGAAGCAGCTAAGAGGTCTATTGTGACTCTTCTACTGAGATCTCGGGTGAGATGACCTGCTGACAGGACCACTATTTATCACACTCTTTCCAGTAGAAGACTGTAGAGAAGGACATATAGTAGAAGAACAGTGAGAACATAGATATTGGTCATGAGACCAAAATCGAATATTTTGGAATATAGAAGCATAAAATGTCATAGAAGGCTGCATCAACTCTGAGTACATGGTCCCTATGGGGAAGCACGGAGGTGGAAGCATCATACTTTTCTTGGGAAGATGAAAAGATGGATGGAGAAAGATGCAGAACAGTTCTGGAGGGGAAAAAAGCACTTAAAGCTGCAAAAGAAGCAAAACTGGGATAGAGGCTGACCTTTCACCAGTTCAGCCTGCAGCCAGACATACAATTAATCTTCTTTATAAATATAATTGTGTGTAAATTACATCAGTTATAATGGTCAAAACCAGAATTCAGCAGAACATCTTTAATAAGAGAAAATTGATGTTCACAAAAAGAAGAGTAGAACATGTTAGTCTGTAGATGAACAAAGCTTTTAGACACATATATACCATTTAGTTGTACCTGCTGCAAAATGTGCTTCTAGAAATATTGACTCTGAGAGCCCAAGTACATTTGAATGCCACACATTTCAGATTTCACCATCCAAATGTAAAGAACTTTTTTTCCGATACGCAATAGATCAGTCTACTGCATAAAACCAGTAAAATATATTTTTATTCTTCATAATGTTTTATGAAGAATGTTTCTGCAAGGCACCAAATCTGTTTCACTAAACCAAATGAGTAGAAAATGATAAATTTGACGATTGCAAAGTAGTTCTAGTCAAAGAAAATGATTTGAATCCATGGATTTATGTCTTGGTCCTGGTTTGCTGGTTTTTATTTTCTCTTTTAAATCTTGTTCTAGCTGTGAGGTCCTTTTATAATCCACTTATAAAGATGGTGGCCTATAAATCTGTCTGTGCTGCCTAAATATAGGTGTAGAAAACTTTCTTTTGGCTACAACGACAAAGAAAAAAGAAAATCAATTAGGGACTACAATGTAAATAATGAGCACTAATGAAATGAGTGAGTGAAAGGTGCAGTGTTTGCATGCCAGGCCTTCTGGCTGACTAAAAGCTAATCCAAACCTTTTAATACTGTTTTCGTTCTGATATTTTAGAGCTTGGATTGCAGAATCAGGAAATACCTGGAAGAGGTAAACCTTTACGGACTAAAAAAGAAAAAGAAAAAAACTTAGCAGCCCACAGGAATGATTGGAAAAACCCTGACCAGCAAACTCTTTCAGTCTCCTCCTTCCTGGAGCCTGAAGGTTCAGGTGCAGCGATTAAAGGCTCCAAATGTGTTAATGATGGTTAAATATTTCAGTTTTCTCCTCCATTTGCAGGCAGGAATGTCCTCTCTCCTCCTCAGCTCTGAGGCGATTGGTTAAGGTCTTTGCTTATTTACACTCTGCACACAGCGCATCCATTTAGGGATATAGAAGACAGCATTTTTGACATGATGAGGGTAAATCAAAAAAAGATAAATCATCTACAGTTAGATCTTTTCACTGGGATAGTGATCAATAAAGTATTTATGAATTAAATAGGAAAGCCATCCAGAGGAATGGTTTGTTTTTGCTATGTATATATACAGGTGCTGGTCATAAAATTAGAATATCATGAAAAAGTAGATTGATTTCAGTAATTCCATTTAAAAAGTGAAACTTGTATATTATATTCATACATTACATACAAACTCATATATTTCAGATGTTTATTTTGTTTAATTTTGATGATTACAAATGACAACAAATGAAAATCTCAAATTCATCATATCAGAAAATTAGAATATTGTGAAAAGGTTCAAAATTGATGGCCCCTGGTGCCACACTCTAATCAGCTAATTAACTCAAACCACCTGCAAAAGCCTTTAAATGGTCTTTCAGTCTAGTTCTATAGGCTACACAATCATGGGGAAGACTGCTGACTTGACAGTTGTCCAAAAGACGACCATCGACACCTTGCACAAGGAGGGCAAGACACAAAAGGTCATCGCTAAAGAGGCTGGCTGTTCACAGAGCTCAGTGTCCAAGCACATTAATAGAGAGGCGAAGGGAAGGAAAAGATGTGGTCGAAAAAAGTGTACAAGCAAGAGAGATAACCGCACCCTGGAGAGGATTGTGAAACAAAACCCATTCAAAAATGTGGGGGAGATTCACAAAGAGTGGACTGCAGCTGGAGTGAGTGCTTCAAGAACCACCACACACAGACGTATGAAAGACATGGGTTTCTGCTGTCGCATTCCTTGTGTCAAGCCACTCTTGAACCACAGACAGCGTCAGAAGCGTCTTGCCTGGGCTAAAGAGAAACAGGACTGGACTGCTGGTGAGTGGTCCAAAGTCATGTTCTCTGATGAAAGTAAATTTTGCATTTCCTTTGGAAATCAAGGTCCCAGAGTCTGGAGGAAAAGAAGAGAGGCACTTCATCCACGTTGCTTGAAGTCCAGTGTAAAGTTTCCACAGTCAGTGATGGTTTGGGGTGCCATGTCATCTGCTGGTGTTGGTCCATTGTGTTTTCTGAGGTCCAGGGTCAACGCAGCCACATACCAGGAAGTTTTAGAGCACTTCATGCTTCCTGCAGCTGACCAACTTTTTGGAGATGCAGATTTCATTTTCCAACAGGACTTGGCACCTGCACACAGTGCCAAAGCTACCAGTACCTGGTTGAAGGACCATGGTATCCCTGTTCTTAATTGGCCAGCAAACTCTCCTGACCTTAACCCCATAGAAAATCTATGGGGTATTGTGAAGAAGAAGATGCAATACACCAGACCCAACAATTCAGAAGAGCTAAAAGCCACTATTAGAGCAACCTGGGCTATCATAACACCTGAGCAGTGCCACAGACTGATCGACTCCATGCCACGCCGCATTGCTGCAGTAATACAGGCCAAAGGAGGCCCAACTAAATACTGAGTGCTGTACATGCTCATACTTTTCATGTTCATACTTTTCAGTTGGCCAACATTTCTATAAATCCTTTGTTTTTATTGGCCTTCAGTAATATTCTAATTTTCAGATATGATGAATTTGAGATTTTCATTTGTTGTCATTTGTAATCATCAAAATTAAACAAAATAAACATCTGAAATATATGAGTTTGTATGTAATGTATGAATATGATATACAAGTTTCACTTTTTAAATGGAATTACTGAAATCAATCTACTTTTTCATGATATTCTAATTTTATGACCAGCACCTGTATATATATATATATGTATGTATGTATGTAAAGAAACAAGATGTGTAGAATGAATAATTCAATGCTTTATAAATGAGATTTCAAGTAAATGCCAGTGTTTCCCTAATTAATAAACTTCAGTATAAATCCACCTGTATTAGAAAAGCTTCAGGAGTTTGTTTCAGAAGCTCAGCGAGCAAAAAGCATCATAGAGGTAAAAGAAAATGCACAGCTCAGCAAAGAGCATACAAAACATCTCTTTAAAAATCTGACTTCTGTGAAAAAGCGTGCAGAGAAAAACTCTGTTTGTAGTTTTCCAGAAGTCATGCAGAAGATAAAGCAGATAATCTGGTCAAATGAGACTAGCTTGAACATGTTGGGTTACATAGAAAATGCTGCATATGTACAAAAGCTGACACTTCATATCATCACCTTGAACACTACACAGTTGCAATGAAATATCTTCGGCATCTTCAGCAGAGACACAGCAGCAGGTCATACTGGAAATATGTGGCAATCGTTGCTTTATTTTCAAAGAATCTTGAAGGACAAAGCTAGTAGAAAAACCTGCTGCCATGTTCAACCTCAATAAGGCTGAACAGAAACCTGCAGCACAGCTCCTGGTTTAGGAAGAATCTTAAAAACATTTGATCATTTTCCTCACAATATGCACAACTAACTGATGGTTTTTTCATTTATTTTTTCATTTATTAGAAAAACAAAACAAATTGTTTTTATTGGAGAAAAAAAAATACTGATGCAGAAAAAAGAACAGATCGATTACTGACTAATTTACATTTATGAAATGAATCCGTTTAGCAGGACTAACAAAATAAAAACAACCTAATGGCTTCCACTGAGAAATCAACCGATGTTAGAAATGCCCACAGGAAAACAGAGTTAAAACTCCTCTTTCATTAAAACTAGATTACAGTGGATATAAAGACAAAAAGGTGAAGCAAAATGGTAAAGTTTCATTCACAGAATGAATATTAGGAAATCAAAAGAACAACAAAGATTAACAGCCTTTACGAGTGTGTACTTAAGTAACAGAAGTCTGAGGCTGAGATGTGGCCCCTCTGCTGACTGACAGTGATTTCTGATTCTGCCTCTTTATCTCAAAGCTTGGCCTGGCTGCACATTAGGCCTCTGATTGGTCTGAAAAGCTCCGGTTCACTGGGAATTACTGGATAAAGCGCGGAATGATGAGTGTGATCCGAACCATATGGGCGCGGAGCAGCAGAGGGGATTCTGAGGGGTTCTTTACAGATCCCCTGGTTTACACTCAGCCATCAGAGCAGAGTGAATAATAATATCCAGAGCCGTTCAATACTGACGGTCAATGAAGCACCAACAGTTTCAAAATGCCAACTGACTGCTAACTCTGAATAAGTAGAGTAAAAACAACATTGGGGGGAGAGCGCCGTTCCACCGCTGTCAGAGGTCTCAGCGTTTGGCTCTCTTCGAAGGGGGCTCCTCTGATTTCTGTCCTCCCCGTGTTCGCACAGCAGGGGGGCTGGCCTCGCGTTTACGGCCCCCCTTGGCTGAAGCCTGGGCCCTCGTCCCGCTGCAGGAGGGAAACAAGGACCGAGTGTGGGTACATTTGGTAATTCAAGGCCTATTTGTGAGGTAGTTCCTCAGTAACTACTGCATACACACAAACTGAAGATACATTTTCCAAGATATCAATTTGTGAAACCGGGGTTTCAGATTGTAAGATTTCTGATAGAATAAAAAAAGAAATCTGCAAAAAAGGCATAAAATCACATGGTTAGGACGTATTTTACAACAAAAAAGCCGCTTTCACCAAGCATAACCACCAGAATTAAGATTTTTTGGTAACAAATAAAAATATAATTACTTTATCTAGTGCTGGGGTCTGAAAAAATAAGCTTTATTTTAGTTCCAATGACTTTTAAAAGAGGATAAAAAGTAAAAAAAATATATATAAACCAGAAGATAAAAAACAAAAAGACATTAAACCTGAACTTTAGAAATTATGTTTCTAAGCAGAACTGCAGTGACTTATAATCCAAAGAATATGTGACATAATGATTAGGATTAACCATTTTTAACATTTGGAAAACTCAAGGGGAACTATTTTGATTATTTTATGAAAATGGGCACTAATATATGAATAGTTTCTTACTTGAAAGCTTCAAAAAAAGAGGAAAAAAAGTATTAGTAACCAAGCAAAAATGAGGGTAATTTTAAAGCGATTAAAGCCGTTTTCCTTTAATTCAGGGGACAGATTTATCCTTTTCATTCTGGGAACTAATAACGTGACATTCCAGGAAAGCTTTTGAATAAAATGTTCTCTTTTACAGTGAAACGGCCTCCGGTTGCAGTCACTTTTGGTTGCCTTCTGCTGAAAGCTGCTTCAAGCTGCTGAACCTCAAAGAGACGGACTCACCGTGTGCCAGCTGTGGTCTCCTCTTTACCGCTCTGTCGACTTGCCCGGGTGGAGGGTTTACTTGGCTTGTTTCTGAGGAGCAGTAAAACTAAATTATTGCTTTAGTGCTAAATCTTCCCTGCTCTCATTAAATGTGATGAAACGGCGTCAATGGGTTCTTCAGTCTAAAGATGTTAAGACAGCGATCAGATGTTTATCACCACAGATGAACAGCTTTACTCTACTTCTTTTTAGCAGCTTTAAAAGAACTGACCTCGTGGATCCACAGTGGAGGCTGATGTTTAATCTGAAACTATCAGAAAGAATCTTAAAAACTACCTTTGAGCTTCGAGACGCGCTGCAGACCGAGTCGTTGCTCTGGTTGCAGCTTCCTTTCCCTCCTCTTCTTCACTGTTGCTTTCCTCTTCGTCTTCATCATTTTGCCCACTTTCCCTCTCATCTGGTTTACTCTCCTTTTTTACTGTTGAAGAATAATTGACAAAAAAAAAAACCCAGAAAGGTTCAAGACATACTTTTGCCAAAATACAACAGTATGGGACAAACGTGAGTCAAACATGTCAAACATTTTTTCACAAGTTCATTTTAAAGCATCTTCCAGATTATTTACCAACATAAAAGCTCAACTTCTAAAGGGCTAATCCGGCTTAGCAATTGTATTTTACATACTCAAAAAAAAAATGAAGAAGAGATTAATGCAACGTTCACACCGCACACACTTTGGGCAGCAAAAAAGCGCCTGCTGCTTCATTGTTGATGCTTGTCTACATTAAGGTCAGATAGACCGCAGGATCATCTTTGACGCTCATGAAGCTTTCAGTAAAGTGTGTCCAGATGCATCTGATGCTTCTGCTGCTTCTATGTTCAATGGCAGAGAGCGGCTTTGGTATATTTGCTGTGATAAGCTGGTAAAAAGAAGTTTTAATGTACTTTTAAGCGACAAAATTCACCTGAAAACATATTCTGTGCGGTCAGTTCATCAAGATTATGATCCTGCCTTAAAATATTATTTGCAGAGCCGCGCAGACCCCCACATACCGGTGGTGCGCTGTCGCTGGGAATCCCCAGCAGCAGCTGGGGGGTTTCCGCTACAGTTTGTGGCGGCTGGAAGTAGAGGTTAGCGTTTTTCAGGTACGTGGTACAAACTGCAGGCACCATGATAATAAAAGCAAACATATTTTGCCAACAGGATTCCACATTTGAAGTTAATTTAGGTGTTAATAAACAGTTTCAGAGGAGTGATCATCGCTTTCTGCATCAGTAGTGCTGTGTCTGTCTCCCTGCCAGCTCCCAGATCAGCTTCTCTGATTGGTTGATACGGCGCATCTCTAGCAGCTGCTGCTTGTGAAGCACGCAACGCACAGCAGATGCTCAGAAGCTCATGAGGCGCTGCTCAGATGCGCTGCAGGACATTTTGATGCGTGTCAATCATAGACTGCATGTAAACCATCTGCTTTTGCTGCTTCAGTCGTGTGTGGTCTGAACGTAGCATAAGACTTATTAATACTAACAACGTATAAAAGGATTTTTTTTTATTGGTTCAGTTAATAATACTGGATGATATTTGCTTTTACCTGAGTCGTCAGCTGCAGCAGCAGCAGCAGCAGCCGCAGCTGCAGTTGCAGCCTTCGGTGGTCGTCCCCTCCGAGCCGGTTTCTTAGGAGTTGCCTCTTGGTCCTGCTGCTCCTCAGACTAATAGGAGTTAAACCAACCAAAGCAAGAAGTCAAAACATTTAAAGAAAGTCCAAAACGCAGAATAGAAACAATGACAGAAGAATAATGAACATTGCAGATAGGAGGTTATTGATTAACAGGACGTTATTTCATTGGCAACATACGTTGTCTGGCTTTGTCTCACTGCCACTCTTTTCTTTCACTTCTTCTGAAGGGTTTGAAGAAGAGGTGCATCCTGAAAAAAATAGACCAACCAATTTATGTTGTTTTATAAGGCAACATCTGCACTTCACAAAGTAATGGAGATTATTTTATGCAGCAACATCTGTGATAATCTCCCATTTGCATCATGTCATTCCTATGAGGTGTGTTTCCTGACCACTGATTTTGTCTTCTTGTTCCTCACTTTGTTCTTGCTCATTCTCTGCCCCCCCCTGCTCAGCCCCGACTTCCTGCAGAGTTGAAAATGGGTGAAATTAAAAACACTACAGTAACAGTTTGGTCCAAAAAAAAGGGACTAAATTAGAAATCCTTCCACCTCTCCAGACTCCTCTGCTTCTTCTGATCTCTTCCTCTTCATCCCCGTCTGACCTGGAGTTTAAACATGAGCTGTTGTTAGAGATACATCCACATGAACACAGCTCCTCTCTTATAGACAGATTTCACTGCTGAAGATCGAATAAGCTTTGCAGAGATCGGATGATGACTTTTATGTTAATTCTTATATTGCAGAATCATAAAGTCTATTATTTCTTGATTTATTCATTTGTTTTTCATCAGGGACAAAACAATTAGCTGAACTTGCACTCAGAGTATTTGGAAAAATACTGAATGAAAATAATATTGAATGATAGAGTCTCTGACAGCGAGTCCATCATGCTCCACTGGGGGTCAATAGCTAGAACAGTTCCTAACAGCAACAAACTTTACATTTGAGTGAAATGAAGGTAAAATAGTCTTGGTAAATTAATGTAAAAACAAGCTATTGAAATAATAATTGCTTTGTATAGTTTTGCTTTTTCTAGTTTGAACTGAATCTAATAAATAATAATAATTAGAGATGTAATATATGTAATTGTCCATTGACATCAATCGTTTTATTCAAAGTAGAAGTTTTGTCTATTATGTTCTTAATCATCATTACATGGTAAACATTATGAACTGTTTGGCTCAGTTTCGCCTCAAAAGCTGAATGCCAAACCGCCCCCTAAGCACTAACCCTTAACTATTGAGTGTCACTTCCAATGAAGTCACTCTCAGCTGTGGAAGGCGCCTTGATTGAAGGTGTGGGAGTATAAATGAGAATGGTACGGCTTCTTCCCTCCAACGGAAAAGGAAAGCAGTTGTTGCTATGGTTACATAGTGACGCCCCATATGGGTGGCTTTAGTATAAATAACATTAAACATTTGCCCCTTTCTTAGAACAAATGTAAATGGTCAGATAAAACTATTTCAAAGAGGAACTTCCATTTTGGAATGAATTACCTTTTTTTTCTGTCAGTGCGATGAAGATGCAGCAAACCAGTGGAATTTACATTTAGGTTGCTGTAACACGTGCTGAAAAATTCCAGCGAGTCTGCACTGATGCAGATTCACTATTAAGGATTGAGCGGTCCACTCACCCTACCCACTAGGTGGCTTGGGATGGCACTTAATGTGGCAGACCCTCACTGGGAACGCGCAAACGGAGGGTTAGTGCTCAGGGGCCGGTTTGGAATTGGGCCATATATTTCATTAATCTTTCTCTTAAAGACTAAAGTGGTGTAAAATAAATAGAACCACAATAACAGGGGCAGCTTGTGTTAGTCAGCTGAGGAGACGACGCTCAGGGGTTAATGATGAGTATCTGAGGAACACGTCTGCTCTCGGCTTCCCTATATCTGGCACTGGATACTCATGAAAATATAGTATTTTATAAATCACGTAAATCCATACAATATTAAGGAATATTTTCCATAGTAAACTTTAGATCCATACTTTTGAGGACTCTTTGCCAGATAAACTGAGCCTAGTCCTTGTGTGATAGTACAACAAACTCACGTGTGTCTCTGCTCTCCTGGAAATCTGACTTCTCAGTGTCTTTATGTTCCTCTGCAGCAGGAGAAACCAGCTGAACTTCACTTTTACTCTGTTTGTTTTCCTGTGCTCCACTTTGCTGCTCAGGGCCCTGAAAAGACAAGTTGCAAATAAAAGCAATTTTTGAGGTTCAATATTCAGCAGATTTTGCACTATTATGCACTATAAAAGTATAAGCAGAGATGAATGCTTTTTAAAATATGTTGCAGCTATACACATAATATCCTGAACCAACCTCTTTGCCGTCTTCTTCTTCAAGTGTCTCAGTTTGACCAGAGCTGTCCTCGGCCACTGCCTCATGTTTCTTCTGAATATCTAAAGTTAGAATACAAAATCAGAGGAATCCATAGAAAGTAAAGCATTCACTCCTCTGCAACAACCTGCTAACAGCGTCTGTTTTATAGATTTAATATAAAGATAGAAAACCAATTTAATTTCAAAAGACAGAAAAGAAATCCCACTTTGTCTGTTTAAACATAGTAATGTCCTGCAGTATGTCACAACAAGCTATATTTAAAAAAACTTCATAACTGAATCATTGCATCCTCTCTCTTAATGGGGGGGGAAAATAAAGAATAATGCTGATAAGAGTGAGTGAGTTATTTCAAAAAATCTAATCTATTGGCGTTTCAGACCAAATCAATTCTGACTAAAATCATGTTTATTATCATTTTAATATTTCATCACTTTTTTTGGATGATCAAACATTAGGCACCCACCATCTTTTGCCCCTTTAGCTGCGCCTCCTGGGCGCCTTCCTCTACGGCCCGGAGTCTTCTCCGATCTCTCAGGTTCTTTCTGAGGATCCTGCTCTGTGCTTTTATGTGGCCGTCCCCTGCGAGGTGCTTTTAACTCTACCACCATCTGCTTCTCACTTTCCTGATGATTTTAGACAGCATGTAAACTTTAACCCCATCATGTCTAATTTAAAAGCTAGAACCTTATCAAGGTTAGCCTCACCTCTACAGACAGCAGCTCGCTCTTTTCATCCTTAGTATCATCTGATGTGCAAAAAAAAAAACACTTTATTAGGGCTCAGAAGGAGTGGTTCTGTTAGTTGGATGGATTCTATCTTCTTATTTGCAAACAATAAAACTGCCTTGATTATTTTATCACCTCTCAGATATCTTACAGTTTTTTTGCCACTTAAAGGTTTAAGATTATTAAAAACATTGTATGTAACCTGTAAATATAATAAGCAGTCTTACAATGACAGTTTACCTTACCACAGGGAGAGAAAACATAAAAATCAATATGCTTCTATGTCAAATATAATCAAATAAGAAAACATGGATGAAATGGAATGAACCAAATATTTAGGGAAGGCCTGATCAGGACTCATCACCTCTACATAAAAAAAACATTAACTTAGAACCTGTTAAACAACATGAAGTACATACAGTAAAATGGTAAAAGATCCGGTTGTTGTTTAAAAAAAACTGATGAACAGATACGCAAGTAACATCTGTGGCATCTTCGTTCTGTCATTTCTAAAGAGCCACAAATGGTGAAAGCTAGAATCTACTCCAGGCCTAAACCTCAGTGGCACCTCTGTTTCCAATCAACAACGAAAGATTCTACAAAGAGGAATGGGCCAAAATGTTTCCAAGGCAGAGCAGTTGTTGCTGCAACTAACGATTATTTTGCAAATGGATTAGTCTGTTGATTATTTTTTCGATTAATAATTGAACAGCAAAAGGTTCCTTAAAGAAGACTTTTTGCTAAACTGAACAAAGAGAAAATAAAGCTTTTCTAATTAAGGATTGCTGGATAGAGCATATTGACAGATGAAAAAGATTTTTATCTTAGAAGCACAATATCTACCCCCCTTTTTTTTTTTTTTTTTTTTACAATTTTGGTATAATTACTGCTCTGAGTGGGTTACTCTGTCAGCTAAAGGCCCATTTTAGAGTCTCTATACTCCAGTTAACCATAAATTGATTACTAAATTAGTTGACAATTATTTCAATAATCGATTAATCCGACTAATTGTTTAATAGTTGATGAATAACTGAACAACCAGACGACTTTCTAATATTTGGCCAGATTTGTCTTGGTATTTCCTTTACTACCCCAAATCATCATTTATAACCTGCATCTGGTATTTACTTATCTTTTTTGGACATTAAGTTACTTTGATCATATAAAACCTTTAAACAAGACAAAAAAAAAAAAAAAATCAGTGTACGTATAATAAGAAAGCCTACAATAATTTGGTTTCGATAAAAAATTATTTTCACTCCGACAATGTTTCAAATGCAGCCAAATAAAAAAATAAAGAAACTTAGATTCTTATCAATTAAACATGAAACTAAACGTACCGCTTTTTATTGAGAGCTTTCTTTTACGTCCTCTTCTCTTAACCACTTTCTCTTCCTGTGAAACAAATAGGGTTCAAGATGGAAGCTGAACTGAACTTTATAATATACCAAAATATAAAAACCAACCAACCTTTTCTGATACGTCTGAGCTCTTCTCATCATCCTGACTGTCTGTGCTCGAGACGTTAGCTGAAAGATTCAGACATGTAGCATTGAAGATCAGGAGCAAAACGATGGATATAAACATCAGAGAAATAAACGTACCGGTTTGTTTGGTTACTGTGATCTCTGGGCCGGCGTCTCCAGCCTGGGTTTGGTCGGACATGTTGGCTTCCATCTAAAACAAGATCAACCACAGGTCAACGGAGGAGAAACATGCTAGACTGATTGAAGCAAAGTTTGAAGGTTAACATCTTACCTTCTCTGGATCACCTTCCTCTGCTGTCTTACTCTGAGTTTCACCTGCGTATAACATGTTTTGATCAAATAAAGAGCAAAATATAGAAAACTGGAGTGATTCTTTCATGCGAAAAAATTTGCTTTTTAACATAATTAATTGATAAAACCTTACATTTCTCATCCTCTGTCTGGTTTTCACCACCTTCTCCTTTTACTGCCTAATATTTATAAGCAGACACATAGAGTTCAAATTTAAAAGAGATTTTAGACAGAATAAGCAGTTCACATTCGTCTCAGTGTAACATCATTCATTCCTGACCTCTGGGTTGCTCTCTCTGACTGCAGCGTTTGGCCCTGCAGAAATCAGTAAGGTTAAGATACCAGAAGAAGAGCTGGAGGCTGCATGTTAGCATCGATCTATTGGCTCTCACCAGATTCACTGAGAATTTCTGAAACGTGCTCAGAGGCTCCAGAAGCAGCTTCAGCTGTTCTCTCTCCTGTGCCGCTGGTGGTCTCCTCTGTTTCTGGTACAAAAAGTAACAAATCTGGTGAAAAAAAAAAAGGTTGAAACGGATGAGAATTACAGTCCATCTAAACAATAGGAACAGAATTTAAAATATATGTTTAAGAATTAACCATTGTCTTTGTCTGCTGGTGCTGATAAAGTTTCAGTAGTTTTAGATTCGTCCTTGGAAGAATCTGGACATTCAAAGATGGCTTCACCCTCCTGTAGAGAAACAAACAGATTTTAACTGATACCATTCAGCCAATGAATACAAAAGAGGACAAAAGCATTCATATCCTTCATAAGGGTTAGATGAGAAACTGTTTGACTCTTTGATTACCTCCAGAGGAGCCTTGTCTGCATTGTTTGTCTCACAAGCATCCATCTTGGATTCAGAGCTTTCCGGTTCATCCTGGAGCTGTGATGCAGATGAGCAGGTTTCCATGGGACTGATTTCAGCGTCTGGTGCTGCTTGGACGTGAGAGGCGGGCTGGTTTCCCTCAGCAGCAGCCAGCGGAGCCTCAGTTACAGGAAGCTGACTCTGGTCCTCAGCTAAAGCAGCAGTTTGCTGCGATGGTTTGCTTTCAGTGGCTGTAAGCTCACCTGAAGCTGCTGCTTGCATGAAGCAAAGCTGGTTTTCCTCTTCGGATGCAGCGGTTTGTTGAGGTAAAGCTGATGAAACCTCAGTCAGTTCAGTTTGAGGAGCGTCCTCCATTAAAGAGGGAGGCTCTACCTCTTCAGCTGCAGGTTGTAAAGATAAAACACCTGAGGCTTCAGGTGCTTCAACCAGAGCCAGCTGCTCCTGGTCCTCAGCTGCAGCAGTGGTTTGCAGAGATGCAGCTGGTTTGGTTTCTGGGGCTGTAAGCTCACCTGAAGCTGCTTGCATGAAGGAAAGCTGACTTTCCTCTTCGGATGCAGCGGTTCGTTGAGGTGAAGCTGATGAAACCTCAGTTGCAATCTGTTCAGTTTGAGGTTCTTCCTCCTTTAAAGAGGGAGGCTGTACCTCTTCAGTTGCAGGTTGTAAAGATAAAACACCTGGGGCCTCAGTTGCATCAACCTGTGCCGGTTGCTCCTGGTCCTTCGCTTCAGCAGCATTTTCCTGAGTTGGTTCGGTTTCACTGGCTGTAGGCTCACCTGAAGCTGCTGCTTGCATGAAGGAAATCTGATTTTCCTCTTCAGATGCAGTGGTTTGTGGAGGTGAACCTGCGGAAGCCTCGGCTGTGACGGGTTCAACCTGAGGTCCCGCCTTCCCTGGAGAGGGATGCTTTACCTCTTCAGCTGCAGTTTGTGGAGATGCAGGAGTTATAGCTTCAGTGTCGGTGAGCTCGATTCCAGGTGCTGCATCCACTGGGGGGAGCACTTTCTCCTCCTTCTCTGCAGCTGTTTGTGGAGATGCAGAACCTTCAGCTGCTGCCTCCACCAGATGAAGAGGCCTTTCCTCCTGAGCTCCAGATGTTTGCTGGAATGTTTCCAGACTAGTTTCAGGGACGGTAAGCTCGATTTGAAGGGAGGCTTCCACTGTAGTGGAGTGTTCCGAAGCAGCCGGTGAAGCTTCAGTGACCATTGGCCCTGATAGAGATGCTGTCTCTGTGGTATCCATGGACTGTGGGTCTTCCCTCAGGCCGTGGGTGCATACGCTGGAGGAAACTGTACTATCGGGATCCATGGAGAGCAAGGTCAGGGCGGCTTCCTTCATCTTCATGTCGGCGTCCTGAAGCTCCATCTCCGGAGTCACTTCCTCTTTAGGACTCTCAGATGAGAGTCTGGCCTCGGCCGACGCGCAGACGTCCATCAGCGTCATCAGGGCGTTGGCCTCGGTGCGTACTCCTGGGTTTTCTGGAGGCTGTGACTCCGCCTCTCCCTCAGATGGCTCGGGGGTGATGTCGCTTAAAGCATCGCAGGTGTCGTCTGAGAAAGACGTGGTGGCGGTAGGGGGATCAGACTCTGTGTTTGCCTCTTGGAGAGGAGCTTGTTTCTTTGGAGGCTCGTCTGACCTGGAGGGTTTGACCAAAGTTTCCGCTCTGTCATCTTTCTGGGGTTTATCTTCTTGTCTCTCAATCTTCTTTTCAGGGACTTTATCTTTCTTCTCCAGCTTTTTCTTTGACATTTTAAGCTCTGACTTTTCAAGTGCAGCATCTTCAGACGCTTTCTTCTGTTCTTTTTGGCTTCCATCTTTTTTCTTCCCTTTCACTGCTTCAGGTTTACAGATCAAAGCGCTTCGGACATCAGGACTCTGAGGTTTCTTTTCCATCTTCACCGATGATGCAGCCTTTGCCTCCTCTTTGGGTTTTGCGTTTGGTTTTTCGGCACTCTTGTCTTTATCTGCAGGCTTTACCTTTTTGGAATCTTTTTCAGTTTCAGGGTTAGACTTGTGCGTCCTCTGGCCATCGGTTCTTCTCCGCTCTTTCTCACCATCCGTTTTAGATTTGGGTTTATCTCCGGGTCTGTCCTCAGAGTGACTCTTTGACCTTTTCAACACGTCCTTACTGTGTTTCTCTTTCTTCTTGGTGCTTTCAGAGTTGGGCTCCTTATCGGAGCGATCCTCTGAGGATCCCGCAGAATCTGGGCGATTCAGCTGCTTTAGATCGCTTTTCATTAAAGATTTATCTCCTTTAGCCTTTTCCTTTTCTTTGCTCTTATCTTTTTCCTTTATTTTGTCCTTCTCCATAGATCCTCCTTTTATTTTCTTCGGATCTTTAGACCCTCCTTCATCAGTGCTGTCCTCTGTAACCTTTCCTTCTTTAGCAATCCCAGATATTTTCTTCTCACTTTTAACCTTAACCTTCTTCTCAGTCTTTTCTTCAGAGGGAACTTTTGCACCACCGTCCCTCTGCAGAGGTTCTTCCACAAGATGTTCAGGTTTCTTCTCGTGCTTTTGTTTGAGCTTGGAGCGTTCGTCAGACTGGCTGCGCTCCTTCTCCTTGCGTTCTTTTCGGGGCAGACGGTCAAACTTCCCAAAGGAGCGCTGTTTGAGAGCCTCCTGGGAGCCTTGTTCCAGATCGAGGATGAACGAGTGTGTCCGGCTTTTCTCAGACAGCTTCTTAGTTTCACTGGACACCTCAGACACGCTGCCGCTTGTGCGCCCAGGCCTGTCGTCTGCGGAGGCAGATTCAGACAGATTTCTCACTAGTTTAGCTTGCAGGGCTTTTGAAGTCGATTGTTTCACCTCCTGTTGAAAAAGAAATGGAACAAAATAAAGGTTGGTTCCGTAAAAGTCAACCCACTCCATGCTAAATGTTTTCTTTCTCTCACCGATTTCTTGGATATCTCTCCTGTCTCTCCTTTCTTCTTAATAAACACATCTCCCTCTTTTCTGGAAGAGAGTTGAAACATTTAAAGCTTACATCTCCTGAAACATCTAAAGCTGTCTCTTTGTTAGAAGTAGCAGTTAAATGGTGCAGCTGCTGATGTCACACCTTGAGTCTAGTTTCCGCTTCCTGTTGAGCGCCATTTTCTTCTCCAGAACTTTCCTTTCTTTCCGGGCTTCTTTGGCTTTGGGGCTCTCCAGCCCGGCAGCGTCAGAACCTTTCGTTTTTCTTTTGTCTGGTAAAGAAAATGAGGCATAGCAAATGATGCGGTCCATTTAAAGTGCAGCAAAAATAAAAATCACAGGGGTGTGGTAAGCCCTCAAATTTGCCCCAATGAGTAAAGCTCAGTGGGACTGGAAGGGGAACTTCTGTAAACAGCCCTGCCTCCATAGGATTCAGATCTGGACTTTGACTAGGCCATTTAAACACTTTGATTTAGCTGTGTTTGCCTTTTCCACTTATAGTGTTGCTTTAATTGTTGTATAATTTCTTTCACAGGAAGAAAACACCAAACAGGACTGCTTCTGCTGCGCTGCCAGGGTTACCTCAGACATATTGGGTATTTTTCTAATGAACAGTCAGAGTAGGTAGATAACTAGATCTTGGAGTATTTGCAGTTTATTTATCCATCCATCCATCAATTTCCCGTCAAGCTTATCCCAAGAGGGGTTGCGAGAGGTGCTGGTGCCTATCTCCAGCTGTCTATGGGCCAGAGGCAGGGTACACCCTGGACAGGTCGCCAGTCCATCGCAGGGCAACACAGAGACAAACAGGATAAACAACCATTCGCACACAAACTAACACCTAAGGACACTTTAGAGAAGCCAATTAACCTAACAATCATGTTTTTGGACTGTGGGAGGAAGCCGGAGTACCCGGAGAGAACAATTGACAGTTTATGCTGACTAAAAAAACTTCTTCTTAAAACCATCTGTCTTCATAACTATAGATTACTTTATGTTTGGCTATCAGATAGGGTGTCATTAAAACAATGTGGCTGTTTAACAACTGTAAATATAACTAGATTATTCCAGAATAAAACAGAGTGGGATGAGTTTAATGTGATGATGTTTAATGTTCAATAGGGATTCAGTTTTGGTCACCCCTTTTATGCAGCATGTCACCACAAAGAGAAGTAATCCCACCTTGCTCTTCCGCCTGCGCTGCTTTCTGTTTGCGCTTCTCCTCCAGCCGCTCTCTGTTCTGCTGTCTCTTTAGCAGCCGGTCCTCTTTGTCTTTAGCCTGATAAATCAGATTCAGGTTTATATTCTGTACATCCAGCAGTTATTTTTCATCATCTTTAAAACTTTAACCATCGACATAAAAAGAAGTTCTATTCATTGAAAATAGATTTTAGTCTTTGCTGAATGTGAACATCGTTTCACTCACAGCAGATCTACGAC